AAATCCGCTCGTAGTGACTATGTAATGAACCATGGTGTGATAATTGCATGGTCACACATTACTTAAGTACTTGTGAGGAAAGTTATTTTGTCGATCTTAATTTCGTTGCAGTGAAACCAGTGAAACCAGTGAGACCAGTGAGACCACCCATTAGACCTCCCGTAAGGCCTACGGCTCGACCGCCAGTCAGACCACCTCGTAAGTGCAGCTTACCATGATATTAAAATAAAGACATTAACTCTATAACTCCTAAGACTGACTAGCATCAAGTTTCTCCTTACAATATCATCCCCGAATCCCGAATTAAGGTCACAAGAATAGAGGAAATGATCACGAACTAAAGAAGCTCTTGTTTGTGAAACAAATTCTCTTTGTCAGCACCTTAGGAAATATACAGAGAACAGTTTGGAGAATATGCATATCGAGGTTAGGGTGTAAAGGTCAAAGAGAGGAGGAGGTGTTTTTCAAATTATAGCTTTTCTTTAAAACCAGCCGCTGCTTTTCCGAGATGTTCAACTGACGTAGTCGGCTGTAAAATTTGTCGGTCAATATTTAATTTGGTTTAAACTTTTCTTGAGCGTCCGCTTCTTATCATTCAGTGATGCCACCTCACCACGGGCACTGCTCTGAATTTGATAGCTATAGTCTGTTGATGATTAGACATAAGTCACTACTGACTTATCCATCCCAGTGTTGCTAATATTATAACTTGCACTATGCATACAAGGCGAGTTCTTGATTTAAAGCGCATTGTTCATGGCGTATTGGCGCATTAGTTGTTCATATTTGACCTCGCGTAAATAAGCGATGATCTAATTTCAAATGGCGGTAAGGTTGTAATTTGTCATTCCTAGTTATCAAATTCCTTAGCTGCTTCCATTGCATATGTATTTATCTCACGTGCCATTTTCCTACTTTTTTACAGGTCCCGCTCGCGCCTCTGCAGTATACCCGCTGACCTACCGAACACGGACACGAGATGTCAGTTTGTTTGGAAACCCGGCAGGATTCGCTAGGAATGTTCGATTTGCTCCAGGACCTGATAAGAAACCGTACGGCTCATATCAGTTCCTTGGTCGACCAGACAGTTACATTGAATTTCCAAATCGTGGCAAAATAGACACAAAACGTTCCATCACGCTTTTAGCGTGGATCTACCACCAAGGACAAGCAGGCCCCATTTTTAATTACAAGCCAAATGGTTGGGGTGTTCACTTTTGGATGGTTTCACCTAGAACGCTGTTTGTCCGCTTTACGCGCCGTGGACGGCTTCGCTCCACCAAATCGGTTATGAGCAGGAGGGTCTTACCCGGTCGGTGGCAGTTCGTTGGTGCAAGTTACAACCAGCGCACAGGGCAAGCGAAGTTGTTCATTAATGGCAGGTTTACAGCGACGACGTACATCGGGAGAATCAGACTTGCAACGAATTATCCGGTCAGAATGGGTGCCCGTGTTGGCGATAGAAGATATTTCAAGGGACGAATCTCGTGTATGCAAGTGTATGATCGCGCTCTCACAGCAAAGCAAATTTTACGCCGAAAGACCAGATGCTTCAGAAAAGGTATGTGTTATCTCCCAGTTTGAAGCATAGTACTAGCACTATCATTTATTTTTATATGCCAGGGTGTTTCATGGCCTCACTTTACGATATGTTCGGCATAATTAACCAATTAATCGGAACGTGGAATAAAAAGGCAAGAGAACTAGAAAATGCATGGAAACGAAACGATTTCAACTTTAATACGTGTGCTAGATTCCAAGGATTTCACGTAGTTTTCACCTTCACAATTATACAGATGGTTGCAGGTTTTAGTTATTCTTACATGGTATGTCACTTTCAGGTCCTGTTGTTATTCCTGGTGTTCCAGTCAGTCCAATCCGTCCAGCAGGAAAAGGTAACCGACAACGTCTTTGTTGCATTTATAGCATTTTTGCCTGTGGAACTACCATCATCCTAAGATTTCTGGGCTGCAGTGAATTTTGGTAATCGTTTATCATCTTTTGAGGTGGCGTTGCTTCATATTTTATATCAACATGCTGATGAGAGAGAAACCAGTCAAAAAAACCGTAAAAGTATGGCTGAAGAAGAATGTATGAACTTTGAGGAAAGAAAACAAAGCAGCTTAATTTCATGCTGCGCACAGGGCTCTTTTTGATTTTTATTTCTTCTATTTTCTCGCAGTCTGCCTGGCCAAGATCGACATGACGTTCCTCATCGATGGCTCCGGCAGTATTGAGGCGTATGGCAAAGGGAATTTCAAACGCTGTCTAGATTTCGTCAAAAGAATGGTCGTATCCTTCAAAATCTCTCAAAGACTTACTCGAGTCGGCGTGGTGCTTTTCTCCCACCGTCCTCGCCTTATATTCAGCTTCAGCACTTACAGTAGAGCTCGTGATATCTTAAAAGCTATCGACAGAATTAGATATCCACGAGGAGGCACTAAAACAGGCATGGCAATGTACTATGCCCAGCGGACTCTGTTTAGGCGCAAGCACAGACACCGTAAGCAAGTCATGATTGTGATGACGGATGGTCGTTCCCAGGACCGTGTGAGCGGAGCTGCACGTGCACTAAAAAAACAGGGCGTGGTGTTATTTGCTGTCGGTATTGGCAAGCGATACAACATTAACCAATTGATCCATATCGCGTCTTCAAGACGGCATGTCTTCACAGCGGGATTTAGGAATTTGCCGTCCATTGTCAGGATTATTAAGACAAAGGCATGCGCAGGTGAGGCTCTTTATCTTTGTTTCCGCTGTCTCAACAAATTGGATCGATGTTGCCCTACGTTTTCATCGTAAATCTTCAGACTGAGCTTCCTCCATGCTTTCCACAACGATCAAAATCAATTGAATTTTCCTGAAGTATCTATTTGTCGATCAGACAGGTTTTAAAGAAATGATTAGCGTATTATGAACTATTTGTAGTAAATAGCGAAATAACAGCAAATATTTGTGCCTTATTAAAGCGAAGTGTAACACGATGAAAGACATGTAATAATCACTAACAAGCATTTCACATTTTTTTGCTTGTAAATGCTTTTAAGGTGCTGTCAAACCAAGCAAACCAGGAAAACCTTCCCGTCCAGCGCGTAAGTAACAAAACACTTAGCTGATTACATCAGTTTGTAAACTCTGGAGACCTGCTCGGTTGATTATTGCTTCCGATGATGTTAAGGTACATAGGAATACTCGGGCTGAGAGTAATGAGAGAAAACAGTAGCACAAATAATAACTTACCAGGCCATTGTTTCTTAGCTCCGCTCCTCACAAGTTAATGAGTGACGGCAATTTTCCCCATGAAGGAAAGCGTACTTTATTTCGTCTAATTGAAAGGGATCAGTAGACGCTTCGCCGCCTTAATTTTTTCGCTGTTGCAAGTAGCTTTGACGAGAACAGTGGACACTCTCCCCTATGATTTCTTATCGAAATAAACCCCTAAGTTATTCGCGCCGCTTGGGCAATGGTCAGCAATCTATCCCTTTACTATGTTGCGTCGTATGTAGTTCAAACGGATAAGTAAAATCTTTACGAATTGTGATCACAATTTATTTGAATTTAAAGGTTATGTTCGTGCCATGGCTTTATATCCACTGTCATATCGAACAAAGGGAAGAGACATCGGCGTCTTCTCCAATCCTCCCGGAGTTCGAGGTCTTGTCAGATATGCGACCGGTCCAGACGGGCGACCTAACACCGCAACCCAGTTCTTCGGTAAGCCTAACAGCTTCATTCAGTTTCCCAACAGAGGCAAGCTTGACACGAAACGATCTATCACTCTATTGGCTTGGATCTACCATGAAGGAAGTTCGGGTCCTATTTTCAACTACATGCCGAATGGTTGGGGCGTCCATCTCTGGATGACATCTCCTACCACTCTCTTTGCACGGTTCACACGTCGTCAAGGACGCCGCTTCACTCCTGACATTCAATACCGCGGCGTCGCGCACAGAAGGTGGCAATACGTAGCTGCGAGTTATGATGGCGGGAGCGGCACGGCTAAGCTGTACCTGAATAGCAGACTGGTTGCGCGAAAGCGTATTGGAATATTTAGAATAGCAACAAATTATCCTGTCAGGATGGGTGCAAGGGTTGGTGACAGTCGCTTCTTCAAAGGGAGAATCTCTTGTATGCAGGTGTACAGTGTGGCGTTGAACTCCAGACAGATTGCAGCTCGAAGCAGAAGATGTTTCTTGAAAAGTAAATATCCTAGTAGTGTGTTATTTAACTGTCTGTGAAACTATCAGTCCTCGTCACAAATATTTAATCGTTTCCCTCTTTTCACCTTGTCAATTTTGGTATCGAAAAAAAAATTCCCCCCTCCAAGTAACTCATCATTGGGAACGAAAAGCACGGGTGTAGGGGGAGTCAGAATTTTACCACTGTATGTTATATTTTGGATTTAGTGAGTCTGGGATTTTTATTTTTATAACAAAAGGAATGCAGGAAATCATGGAAACCGGTATCTGTGGTAAAGACTTGCAAACTGTGAACCAAACGCTTTAGTAGTATAATCTCTGTCTGGCATTGTGTCGCATTTTGCGAGCCATAGTGAAGATTACGGCTTTTATCCCGCCAGCACGCTCGCGTCATTCTATCATATTTTTTTTCTTCATTTAATTTTTTCATTACCCTCCAAAGTGATAATGATAGTAACACGATCTATGCTTTTGGGAAAAAATATGTTTTAGGCCTTTCTCAGAGTTCACTGTAAATCTCGCTTAACGGCTTGGGCTAAAATGATACTGAGTCAGGCCCAAAACATATTTATGCACGCGAACATAAACTCTACTGCTTAATTGGACTTGAATAGAAAAATCTAGAATCCTCTTAACATGGTGAATCCTCTCCATTTAAAACTTGTAGGTACTGTAACACCTGGTCGCCCTGTGGTTCCAGGTGGAGTGCCCTTCCGTCCAGGCAAACCAAGTAAGTAATTTGAGTAAAAGGATTAAGCCATAAGATTAAAGGGCGAGGTAAAAAATTACTACAGATTACATATTTTTGGCATAAAAAGTCGCTTAAGAGTACAGATGTATGATTAAAGATTTTCAGCTTCTGTGTGCGTGTTCTTGAAAAGGGTGAATCAAATTTGCCTCGAAAAACAAAAGTTTGATCAAATAATTACAGTTCGTTTATTTCGTAATTTAGAAACTTAAGTAAAAGTTCTTTTTCAACTTAATTCGATACGTTTGTTCAAACAGCGACAAATAATTTGATATTGAGTTAAAGATACAAAACTTAACTTTGCGGAGAACTTTTCGTGATTTAACTGCGTGAATATTCCAATCACAGTCGCATAACATGTGCACATTCAATTTCTCCTCAGTGTGCAAAGCTAAGGTTGATCTTGGTTTCCTTGTTGATGCCTCTGGAAGTATTGAAATGTACGGCCGTGGTAATTACCAGCGCATGAAAGACTTCATCAAAGAAGTGGCGGGAAGCTTCGTTGTCTCCAGGCATGGAACTCACGTTGGTTTAGTCGTGTTCGCCAGCAGACCTGAGCCAGTGTTCCAGTTTAACACCTACTACACGAGGCGAGGCGTCATGAATGCTGTCCAAAAGATCCCGTATATCAACGGAGGAACCCGGACCGGCTTAGCTATAAGAAGAGCTACTCGGTACCTGTTCAAACCTCGCCCCCAACCCGGACGAAAGAAAGTGTTGATTGTCATGACAGACGGTATCTCGTACGATGATGTTATTGTCCCAGCAAGAAGACTTCGTCGCACTGGTGTCTCCATATATGCACTCGGAATCGGTCTTAAGTACAGTCGACGGCAGCTTGGCAAAATTGCCGGAACTCCGAGACATGTGTTTACCTCGAAGTTCGCGACTCTCCGAAAGGCCGCTCGTAAAATCGTGAGTCGCATATGCGCGGGTGAGTAGACCAGAAACGTAAATGTAATCTTTAACAACAGAATTGCAACAGTTTTTAAAAATTTTACTTCATTTTCACCATGCACTCACTTAACCTCTCTTCTCCATCCGATAAAATCTTCGTTGATCATTGCCTCTTCTTTCCACAATACGTGGGAATGGCAGGAGGAAGGGATTGGATTTTATTCGTTTACCACATCTTGGGAGATATTACAAATGTTTTCTTGTTTGTTCTCTGTCTTCCTTAGAACCAGGAGCCAAACCCATAAAACCAGTTGGTCCAAAACCTGTTAGACCTCGCCAACCAGGTAAACACGACCTTTTTCTTGGCGTTTTAAGGCTTTTGCCTCAATGAATTTTACACATTTTGCTGGAAATTACGTACTTGTCTTCAGTCATTTTGCACTTTCTCATTGCGTCTTTGTTTCTCAGTACGTGCTGTGGCTATTTATCCACTGAATGGAGGAGTGAAAGGCCGCGACATTAGCTTGAGCAAAAATCCAACCGCCATCCTAAGTAACGTGAGGCCCGCACCAGGACCTGACCGGACCCGCGATGGATCGTACCAGTTCTTTGGTAAATCCAACAGCTACATCCATTTCCCTAATCGCGGAAAGTTGGATACCAGACGATCGATTACCCTGATGGCGTGGATCTACCATCAGGGACGCGCAGGACCCATCTTCAACTACATGCCGAATGGCTGGGGCGTGCACTTCTGGATGATTACACCGAGAACGCTGTTCGTGCGGTTTACACGTCGACAAGGACGCCGCTTTACTAAGGCGGTGATGAGCAGAAGAGTCGTACCCAATCGATGGCAGCTTGTCGCCACGACCTTTGATGGAAGGTCCGGACAAGCTAGACTGTTTATTCAAAGGCAGTTTGTGGCCCAAGAGTACGTTGGAAGAATACGACTGGCAACGAATTATCCCGTGAGAATGGGAGCACGTATTGGTGATTCACGGTTCTTCTTTGGACGGATCTCGTGTATGCAGGTGTATCCAATGGCGCTGACAAGAAGACAAATACTTGCGCGCAAGACAAGGTGCTTTAGAAAAGGTCAGACAGGATTTTCGTCTTGAATTTAACACACTGATTTTAGCAAATGAGTGCTGTTAGTTTTGATAAAAGCTGCCTGCTTTTTTTTTTGAGGTTTCACTTCGATTATTCTGTTCATCTGATGGGGTTTAGGCTCGTAAGGTACCAAGTCAATATGTCAAATCTGAAATTATCGGTCAACTTATCATGTTCCTGTGTAGTTTTAACTAGTCAAAATGGTGGTAAAAAATCAACTTTATATCACAATTTCAATGTCATTGTAATTTTATTACTTCGTTTTCCAGTTATTCGACCTCCTCCAAGGCCAAGACCGAGACCCGGACCCAGGCCCAGGCCCCAACCTCCAATTCCTGGCCCGGCGGGGAAGAGTAAGAACCTCTTTCTCTTGTCGCTTGAGTTAATTGTCTCTCTTACATTTATCACCCAGTATCACTTCTACTTTTCACGTGTCTGTTAGCTTGACGTATTAAGTCTTTTCGAGCTCTTTCAAAGAGAAAGAAGTCACAAACGTGTTTCTGTTTTCGCCCTGAGTAAGATGAAAAAGAACCTTGAGATCGAAATCAGTCTTACGTAAATTTTTAGGATTTCATTGTGTTTTGGCAAATCGTGGCAATTGAAATCAAACCTTTAAACATGGCTTTACGCACTCTCGTTAACACCTTACTTTTGCCTCGAGTATATTGAAACCATTGTTGTTTCTAAGTAAATAAACATTTTCTTGCAGTATGCCGTGCCAAAATAGACTTGGTCTTCGTAGTTGATGGCTCTGGGAGCATAGAAGCATACGGCAGAGGAAACTTCAAGCGATGCCTCCGTTTCGTCAAAAATATGGTTCGTTCCTTTACCATATCAAGAAGCTACGTGAGAGTTGGAATTGTGGTTTACTCCTCGCGCTCACGATTAATACTCACCTTCAACCAAAATCGCGGAGTTAACAATGTACTCCGCACTATCGACAGAATCAGATATCCCAGAAGAGGTACCCGAACAGGTGCAGCGCTCTCATTTGCTTACTCCCGCCTCTTGGCTGGCGCAAGGAAACGAAGTTCAAAGGTTGTCATTTGTATGACTGATGGTCGTTCACAAGATGATGTAAGAGGCCCTGCCAACCTGATGCGCAGGCGTGGTGTGAAGATATTTTCGCTTGGTATTGGCAAACGCTACAACATGAGACAGTTGCTTCAGATGTCCGGAAACCGTCGTAAGGTTTTCACAGCTGACTTCAAAAATCTCGGTTCCGTGGTGCGCGCTATCAAGCAGAAGGCGTGTAGAGGTGAGGAAGAAAAATTTTCCCTTGGGTGGTTTTGGGAAGGACAGAAACATGCATAACGAACACGTTCTTCAATGTCACCAGATCCACATAGAGCAAATTTTGAAAAGGATAGCTTTTCGACTTCCCATTCTGAGTGGCAATGAAATTCTGTTCGAATAAACATGTGTTTTTCTTATTTTAGTTTCCAAACCAACGCGACCGACTAAGCCTGGAAAACCGTCTGGTATGTGGAGACAGAAAGGCAAACCTTACTCAAATGTTAAATATACATATACCTTTTTTAAGAGAAACATTTTTAATAATGGACCTTACTTTCGTTTGCTTTGTATTTTAATTGATTTAGAATTACTTATTGAACATAATGGATGGCGCACAAATTGGGATCGACAAGTCGTTGCACGAGCTCTCTATGGAATAATTTTGCAACCTGCTGTTCTGTTTTGAACCCAGGAATGTAAAATAGAGATACGAAATTGTGAGGAAAACCTGATATAAAACTTGTGGTAGTTCGTATATAATGTAGTGGTTTAAGTAGAGAATAACATTTTTGTCGTCTACCAAAATCTAATCTAAGCTTCAATGGCATCGGAAAAAACTTAACCCTTGTGGTTACGTTTTGTTGTTCAATAGCCGTTGGCCGCGCAGGCGCTGTGTATCCACTAAGCTCGTCCACGGCTGCGAGAGATATCAGTACCAATGGCAATCCGCCAGGCCGACGCGTCTATGTCAGGTTTACCCCAGGTCCCGACGGAGTCCGGGGAACAGCGACGTCGTTTTACGGCCGTGCGAACAGCTACATCGAGTTTCCGAACCGCGGTAGACTGGACACTAGAAGATCCATCACATTGATAGCCTGGATCAGACACCTTGGACGCGCGGGTCCGATCTTCAACTACATGCCGAACGGCTGGGGCGTGCACTTCTGGATGGTTAACCCACGGACGCTATTTGCACGCTTCACGCGTCGAAGAGGCAGGCGCTTCACACCCGCAGTGTCCAGTCGCACAGTTCGTTACCGTGCATGGAACTATGTGGGCTGCACGTATGATTATCGCACTGGCATTGCTAGGCTTTTTGTTGGAAACAGATTTGTTGCGTCTCGCCGTATTGGTCGCATTAGACTTGCAACTAATTACCCAGTGAGAATGGGAGCCAGGATTGGAGACGGGAGATATTTCCGAGGTAGTATTTCCTGTATGCAGGTGTATAAGAAGGCGTTGACTGCAGGACAGATCCTTGCGAGACGAACGAGATGCTTTAAGAGAGGTGCGATGTATTAAATTTCGAACTTTTCCGTTCAAGCTAAGTATTATTGTTTGAGTTTTTTCTCTATTCATCAAGCGAAACTCTACCCACCCAGTAGTAACAGTTAAGTTTCAGACCAACGTGACGAATTTCATAGGGTAGCAGCAATAGCTTGGCTGAAAAGCGGGATAACTTCCAGCAGTACGTAACACACGTGAGACTTATGCTATCACGTTGAAGGAATATAGATTTTCGAAGGAAATTTGACCATTTTATAATGGTTTTTGGTTAAATTAAAATTCACTTCTGTTCATCTCTCATTTTGGAAATAGAAGGGGATGTTTCCCATATAATATTCAGATGCTTAGAGAAAGAGTTAGGTAGTGCACATCCCTAGAATCAAAATTCAACGAAATCAACGGGAAAATTGCCTTTAAACTTGTTTACAATAATTCTGATGTTATTTTCTGTTTCATTTCATAGTTCCACGACCGCAGCCTCCACGGCCAAGACCAAGACCTGGCCCTAGACCCAGGCCTCCCATTCGTCCTTACCCTGGTGGAAAAGGTACTACTTGGTTAAGCTACCATCTACCTGTAGCTAATTAAATTGCTTCATCGATGTTTTCTCTGGCAAATTCAACTGTAGATCATTCGCGATCCTTCACTTAACGTTTTCCGACTGCAGCCTTTCTGAGTGTGCTTTTACAATTAATACTTGTCTTGTTTGATGCTCAATGTGAATCTACTTTTTTTCTTTTCGCCTTTTAGTGTGCCGGGCCAGAATCGACCTCGCCTTTGTCATAGACGCTTCCGGTAGTGTTGGCCGCGCTAACTTCCGCCGTTGTCTAACCTTCGTCAAAAACATGGCCCGAGTGTTCACAATCTCCCGAAGCTACACCCGCTTTGCTGTGGTGCTTTATTCATCGCGTCCCTCTAAAATATTCGGTTTCAATCGCTACCTTAATCAACACTCCCTGCTTCGAGCGATTGGCCGCATACGATACACTGGCGGCGGAACTAAGACGGGTTACGCACTAACTTACACTTATCAAAGACTCCTACGCTACAGCAGACGAAAGAACAAAGTCGTGGTTGTCATGACTGATGGTCGCTCGTATGATAAAGTGCAGCCACCAGCCTTGGCTATCCGTCGTAAAGGGATAAAGATACTTACCTTAGGGGTAGGAAAGGGCTACAGCATGAAGCAACTGATACAGATGTCATCCAACAGACGGGATGTTTTCACCGCTGATTTTAAGAACTTGGGATCTGTTGTGAAGATAATCAAAAGAAGAGCTTGTAAAGGTATTGAGCTTATTACATGTATTTTCTGCTAAAATGCAGCTCACACGAAGAGAAACACGCTGCGAAGGCGTAGATAAAAAGATATCATTGTATGCATGTGATCCCTCTAACTGAAATGTAGATCCCTTGTTGAAAATGCTGCTATTTCTCGCCTAGAGAACCACATCTATATTTTTATAAAGGTGTCTTCAAGAGAACTCGTTTTTTTTTTACCGCCAACTTTTAGACTTCACTCAAATATCTGTGGCATGAATACGAAAGTTATTTGCTTTAGTTATGTTGAAAAATTGTCAATGTTTTCTCTTTCAGCTGGTAAACCTCGACCTCCGAGACCACCACGCCCACCAAAACCAGTTGGTAAGTGCGGGTGATAAACCAGACCAGTACCTTATGACTTTAAATTTCATGTCATAAAGCGCGTTTTGATCGAGAGTCGTAAAACCCAAACAAAGTTATGGTCCAAAGCCAATCGGGAGAAAGGAAAATATCAATAGGAGCCAATGCGACCTCGAACTAAAAACAAGCATTTTTAGTCATTCTAAGTTTTCGAGAGTGTGGAAGCCATTTTATACTAGTTCATTGCAACCGCTATTTACCTTTGTATCATTGCAGTAATAAAACGAGCTGTGGCTGTGTACCCACTGAACCGTAACACTCAAGGCAGAGACATCAGCTTCGCAAGAAATCCCAACGGTAGACTAGGTAGGGTCAGATTTGCCAAGGGACCTGATAACTTGCCGGGCGGTTCGATTGAATTCTTTGGCCGTAGCAACAGCTACGTAGAGTTTCCTAACCGAGGAAAACTCGACACTGGTCGTTCTATAACTCTATTGGCGTGGATCTACCATACTGGTCGAGCAGGACCCATCTTTAATTACATGCCGAACGGATGGGGCGTACACTTTTGGATGGTTACACCGTCGACGCTTTTTGCACGGTTTACACGTCGTACAGGAAGGCGTTTCACGCGGGCGATTTACAGTCGAAGTGTGAAGCCGCGTAAATGGCAGTTCGTTGGTGCTACCTACAACTACAGAACTGGTGTAGCGCGTTTGTTTGTGAACTCGCGGTTTGTAGTGTCCACTCGTGTAGGACAAATAAGACTGGCGACTAACTACCCTGTCAGGATGGGAGCACGTATTGGAGACAGAAGATATTTCAAGGGAAGAGTTTCATGCATGCAAGTCTATAGCCAAGCTTTGAACAGGAATCAGATACTTGTTCGTCAAAGAAGGTGTTTCCGAGCAGGTAATAGAGCTACTTTTGGAGTCGTAAGGAAATTTTCGAGTTTTTCGGAGTACATACTTAGGAACAAGAGAATTGATCTTTCCGAGAAAAATACCTTAAAAGGATCAATTATTAACCTTGACGTTGACAAAAACATATGGTGTTATGCGCTCTGTTAAGCCTGGCAATTAAAACACTTGTCAAAGCAAAGTTACAATAGTTATTGACTGACTAACGGAGATGTCGCTACTCTCTATTTGTTTAATTCAAGAGTTGTTATGAAATCTTGAGAGTCATTAAAGATTTAGCATAGCAGGTCACATGAGTAACGTGTTTTCCATTTCCCTCTTATTTTTTTTTCTTTTTTCTACTCTGTATTAATGGGCTTGTATCTTTTATCTCTTCTCTTTTTAGTGAGACCTCGACCCAGACCTGTGCGGCCGGTAAGACCAACTCGACCTAAAGGTTTGTGGTTTTGTTTGCTTGATATCCACAGCATCTTCCGGTTTTCCTTTTTTTTCCTTTTACTGCTTTCCTTGTTGTCAATGGTACTGTGTCTCTTGAAAAGTTAAATTTGGGTCTGACAAATGCTCAATTACTTATTTTCTCTAACTAGTTAAAACCCAAGCCGTGGCTATTTTCCCTCTCAATGGAGGAACCAAGGGCAGAGACATCAGTAACCGTGGCAATTCGCGCGGAATACTCAGTTATGTCCGCCCTGCGCCCGGACCGGATGGAACACGTGACGGCTCTTATCAGTTCTACGGAAGAAGCAACAGTTATATCCAATTCCCTAACCGAGGAGGCCTAGATACTAAGAATTCAATATCTCTCCTGGCCTGGATTTTACATCAGGGACGCGCAGGACCCATCTTCAACTACATGCCCAACGGTTGGGGTGTGCACTTCTGGATGATTACTCCGAGAACGCTGTTTGTGCGGTTTACGCGCCGCAGAGGACGCCGCTTTACGAGTGCTGTTGTTAGTAGGAGCGTGATTCCAGGAAGATGGCAGTTTGTCGGCGCAACGTATAACGGAAGAACAGGGAAAGCGAAGTTGTTTGTAAACAACAAATTCACGGCAAGGAAGTACATCGGACAAATACGGCTGGCGACTAATTACCCAGTGAGAATGGGAGCTCGTATTGGCGATGGACGATATTTCCGAGGACGAATCTCCTGTATGCAAGTTTACAATGGGGCTTTGTCTCGCTGGAAAATTAATTCTAAGAAACGAAGATGCTTTAGAAGAAGTAAGCTCCGATCCGAGTATTGTCGTTATTGCTGTTCTTTTTAATCTTCATTTGCTCGTTACAATCAGTCGTTACACGTAAAAAATGAATGCATTCTCTACATGGTTTTTGTGAAACAAATATATGTAAATATACATTTCTTTCCTTTAGAAGTTCGACCTGGGCCCAGACCCCGCCCACGGCCACGACCAGTACCACTTCCAAGACCTAAGCCCAGACCCAGGCCAAAACCCGGAAAAGGTGAGAAGAGCGAGTGCTTGTACTAGTCAAGGTGCCTCGGGGCAAGCAGAGACATCTTACGCCTTTTTTCTTACTTGATTACTTTGCTACCAAGTAGCCTTGCACAAAATTCCTTCGTTGATCAGTTCACTTAAGGATAACTCGTAACACTATAATCTCTTCATGCTTCAGAAACAGGGATAGGATCTGGCAGTTTAAACTTAACCCTTCATTCTCGTCTTTTGCGATAATCATCAAGTTAAAATGACGTCTCCCGCCCTGCCCCCGTAATTTTAATTTTTGGGAAACACGGTGTTACAGGGATCAGTTAGCCGATTCTTGAGTGATTTAAGGTCCGGGTTAAAGCCTCGACTGGGTCACTGTGTTGTTTTGTTGGGCAGGGTACTTAAGTCTCGCATTCATACTCCGCCCTGCAATGTAAATAAATACGGCAGACTATCAGGGAGATGTGATGAATCTGTAGCGGTATCTCTGCAACGGACTGACTTCCCGTCAAGTGGAGAGAGTCAATACTCCAAGTTGTTTCCTTTGACTGAAACCTAGATAAGTTCCGATCCTCTGGTTCCTAAGCTAAATCATGCGAAAATATGGTTTTCTCTTGCCTAAATAGAATGTTTGTGTTTGCCTTGCTTTTATTTAGTTTGTATTGCGAAATTGGATCTCGCCTTCCTCATCGACGGCTCAGGTAGCGTTGGCTTTTCAAACTTCCGCCGTTGCCTGGTATTCATCCAGAACGTTATTCGAGGATTCAGGATCTCTCAGCGATACACACGCATTGCTGCTGAAGTTTACTCTTCAACTCCACGCAGAACATTCCAATTTACCCGATACAGTAATGCTTACCAAGTCCTCAGGGCCGTTGGATCCATAAAGTACCCGCGTGGTGGAACAAACACCGGGAAGGCTCTTTGGGACGTGCTTAGATACGTGTTCCGCGGTAGGACCAACCGGAAAAGGGTCCTTTGTGTATTGACCGACGGACGTTCTCAAGACCATGTGTTGAAACCCGCCCAAGCGCTGAAGCGAGCGAATGTTGAAGTTTTCTCGGTCGGTGTCGGCAGAGGATACAGTATTACTCAGCTAAACCAAATGGCAACAGACCGCAATCACGTGTTCACAGTTGATTTCAGAAACCTCAACTCAATCATTAAGGCCATTAAAAAGAAGGCTTGTAAAGGTAAATGTTCTTTTTGTTGCTAGTTGTTCTTGGGTACACTAAGATTGTAATGAATATTGCTCAGCATCTTAGGGATATAATGTATTAAAATTGTTTACTGATATATGGTTTATTACTTTTCTCACTCACTGGTTCACAGTGACTGACCTATTAATTGAAAATGGTAGACAGTTTGTTCATTTGTTTTTCTTCTTTGTTCTTTGCGTTATTTAAATATTCATACTCTTCTATTGAAGGAGGACAGAAACCACCATCGCCTCACAGACCCTCAGGTACCAATTTTTTTCCTATTTTCCCCTTTTTTTATGACTTGCTTGGTCAAATAGATATATTTCTTCGTCCCAGTGCGTCTTGCAATATATGTTTTTGCTTAGATACAAGGTAAATTTCTGATCGCTTACGAATTTTTTTTTTCAATATTCTTAAGGAACCCTGCGGGCGGTTGCTGTATACCCATTGAACTCCCTCACCAAGTCACGCGACATTAGCTTCAACAGGAATCCGCCGGGTATCATGTCAAATGTTCGACCAGCCCCAGGTCCCGACGGACGACGTGGAACAAGCTATGAGTTCTTAGGGCGACGCAACAGCTTTATCCAGTTCCCTAACTTCGGAAAAATAGACACCAAAAAATCCATAACTATTTTAGCTTGGGTATACCACCAGGGTCGGGCAGGACCCATATTCAACTATCACCCCAGCGCGTGGGGTGTACACTTCTGGATGGTTGGACCACGCGCTCTGTTCGTTAGATTCACGAAGAGGAGGACTAAAGACTTCACAGCTGCTTTAATGAGCCGAACCGTTAAGCCAAGTCACTGGCAATACGTGGGTGCCTCCTATGATCACTCAACTGGAATGGCCAAGTTGTTCGTCGGTGGAAGACTGGTTTCAAGGAAACGAATTGGAAGAATACGATTGGCTACGAATTATCCTGCGAGAATGGGGGTGAGGATTGGCGATGGAAGGTATTTCCGTGGACGTATTTCATGTCTCCAGGTTTACAGTGCCCCCTTAAATGCCAGACAAATAGCTGCGCGTGCAAAGAGATGTTTTGTTCCAGGTAAATTTTAATTTTTCTTCTTTCATCTGCATTTTGAAACTCGGCTACTAAGCTAAAATTTCTTCCAGTAGTTTTCATTACATTCGATCTAATTTGCCCATCTGTTTTTTTAACTTTGCCAGGACTTCCCAAACCACGCCCGCCACCACGCCCAACTGGACAGCTGTTTAAACGAAGAGGTTGCTATAAAGACAGATCTCGCAGAGCCATGGGTATACTTCTTGGCAACCTACGACGAAGGCGAGATGCAGTCATGCGTTGCTTTCTTTTGGCGTCCAGGCGGGGATATCGAGCATTCGGTGTCCAGGATGGCGGAGAATGCTTCTCTGGCCCTCAGGCGCACCGCACGTTCAGCAAATATGGCCGATCGGGTAGATGTAAAAATGGAAGAGGAGGACCATGGGCGAATGATGTGTATATAATTATTAGAAAACGTATGTAGGTTTAAGCTTGAATATTATATTTTTGAAGAACTTGTGTAACATATTTGCAAACTTGTTTAAAATGAAAGTTGATTTGAACTTAATCGTCACGTCTTGAAATTGGCAACCGTATAATAACCTAAGTTTCAGATTATCTTACCCTATTTCTTTAATCAATCTTTTTCATGCAGAGTGAGATAGCAAATTCCATGATCCTTAATTCAAATATAGTGCTATCTTAGAATAACTTGCTATGTTGTTTGTCCCTATAGGACCTATTCCGCGACCTCTTCCTCGGCCCAGACCTCAACCACGCCCTGCTCTACCAGGTGAGATGACACTTGATAAAATCGACGTGTCCTGAACTTGGAGCCTCTAATTTCATATATTTTATATTGTTTAAAATATCCAGTGACGTACCCTCACAGCATTTTTGATAGTTTGTTTCCTTCATGGAAGACTACTACAAACGATATGCTATATATTGCAAAATTTTACTCATTCCATGGTCCGTATACCAATAATATATTTATTTATCTCAACAGTTTGCAAAGCCCGTTTAGACTTGGGCTTCATTGTAGATGGTTCCGGAAGTGTTGGTCGTGCAAATTTCATTAGATGTCTGAACTTCATCAAGAATTTAGTCAGCTCGTTTGTAATCTCTCCCGGCCATTCTAGAGTGGGACTTCTAATATACTCTCACCGCGTCATTCCAGTATTCTCTTTCGGTCAACGCCCACGTTTGCGTGGGGTCCTACGGGCAATTAGTAGAATCAGGTATCCTGGAGGGGGTACTAAGACCGGTAAGGCTCTGTCTTACTCTAGGAGGTACCTGTTCGCCCGAAGCAGCCTCCGTAAGATTTTAATACTGATGACAGATGGCAAGTCGTACGATAGAGTCAAGAAACCTGCAGCAGTGCTACGTAACATGGGAGTGCAGGTGTTTGCTCTGGGTGTCGGAAAACGTTACAGCATGAAACAACTTTTGCAGATTGCAAGCAATCGACGGCATGTCTTTACAGCAGACTTTAGGAACTTGGGATCGTTTGTGAGGGCCATCAAACAGAAAGCTTGTCGAGGTGCGGTCGGATATAACAAGATGTAGTATCTAAATACTCTTAGTGTTTATCCGCACATGGGAATTGCTGCCTCTAAAACAACATTTCCTTGCGGACTATCAGGCTTACAGATTTTGAGGGGGGCACCATGTTCTAACAAGGAAGCGAAAACCTTACAACAGCAAAGTTGCCAACAATAAGGGCGATTTTTGAAGCAACGATAACGTGTAATTTAAAGTACTTTTTTACTTTTTGTCGTGAACCCAAAACCGATATTGTATTAGAGGCCAATTAAATCTCTAAGCCTATGTCTATAATAGGGCGGGAAAAGCGAGTGTGAAAGACCCAGCTGATATAAGTTTTGCTTCTGATTGGTTGATGCTGATTTCTGATTTTTGTTTTGCATTTGATTGGTTTACAAGAGGCGCGTTTTTCAGGACCAATCACAAAGCATACTTTAACAGCAAACCGTTACTTGATATATTTTTTGGTGAAGTCAATTAGATTGCGACCATTGATAAGCTGGTCGTGATCGCCAGCTCTATTTCCCTGCAATGTTTGAATCTAACTACACGTGTAGTTTCCAGTGTAACATTACTAATACTACCTTTCTGTAATTTGATTAAAGTTACTTTTCTATATTCCAGGTATTACCAAGAAACCGAAAAAACCACGTAAGTCCACTGACTTTCACCTCGCGTAAACGTTTCCTAACTTACCATCTGTGCAGTAACTCTGGCTCTTTCTCATTCGAAGTAATTTTGTAAAGCAAAGATCTGCAAAATCATTGATGATGTTAAACCCCTCTCTTGTTGGACGCGGTCCCAGACGTCGATCCAAAGTCTTCATCCAACATTACATCTTAGCTTCGAAAGAGGAAACACATACGCTCTTAAAAAAACATATTGGAGATACTGCAGACTTCTATTATCACGTAGAATATAAGATGGCCCTTAAAATAGAGAGCTTAACTCCTGTTGAACTTACCTCGGATGCATGCGTATAGCTGATCGCATGCTTAATGAACTATGAAAATATTCAACATTACTTTTGATTTTACAAACCCGCTTAAAGCTGAAATAGAAAATTTGATCAAATGCCTTCATTTTTGCATATGAACAGACGCCATGTCCGCTGTCGCCATATTCCCGTTCAGTAAAACATACAGAGGAAGAGAACTTCGCAACAGGAACCCACCAGGTTACCCGTCTCACGTCCTATTCACCCCCGGTCCCGATGGATTACCATACGGTTCTTATTACTTCCTTGGTCGACCAAACAGCTACGTGGAGATTCCTAACAAAGGAACACTGGATGTTCGTAACTGCATCACCATCTTGGCCTGGATTTATCACGAAGGAAACGCAGGACCGATTGTGAACTACAAGCGCAATGGATGGGGCGTCCATCTCTGGATGGTCAACCCCAGAACGCTGTTTGTGCGTTATACACAGCGTCTTGGACGGCGCTTCACGCACGCTTTGGCGTACCGCGGTGTAAAACCGCGAACATGGCAGTTCGTTGGAACTTCGTACAATCGAAACACAGGCGTTGCCAAATTGTATATTAACGGCAAGATGGTTTCGCGCCGAAAGATCAGAAAGATTTCATTGGCTACCAATTACGAGATCAGAGTTGGAGCCCGTCAGGGTGACCGTCGCTATTTCCGAGGTCGAATTGCTTGCTTACAATTTTATAGCGCTGCTTTGACGACTAACATGATCCGTCGGCGAATGAGGGCTTGCTTTAGAAGAGGTAAGCTTAAATGGAAGTCTATTTTAAGGAGTGGATAAAAAAAAATATGACTTATGCGTTGAATGCAGGTTGTCATAAATCATAGGATGACTAACTTCAGGAAGCCTGATATCAATCCATCTTTGACGCCTTAATAGACTTAATATAATTAAAACCCTACGTTTGGGAAGAGGAAACCGATGCCAATGTTTTTATCTGTTCCATTCGACTATTATGAGACGTTGTGAGTCTCAACAAACGAGTTACTGTGTTAGAATCGTATTTAAGTTCTCCTCTTTCTGTTTTCAGGTCCCATGCCTGTTCCGATTCCGAAACCGAGACCCGGAGGACGAGGTGAGTATCGTGCGCAATTAATTTCGCTTTTTAGGGGCTTGATTTAAGCATAGTTAGTAGAAGTGACTGGTTAACGGTATCACGACGTTTACTCATGATTCCGTCGCTGCAGACTCAGCGGAATCGGACCACTTTTCCCCCCATGTTTTTGCCAGTATTCCGTTGAATGCAACGTTTGTTTCCGGTGCCAAATTTATTGATGACGTTTACTGAAAAGAAACAGAAACAAAGACTTTTACATTTCCGTATTGTTTCCGAATAACGGAATCATCCAATTTTGTCCCGTGTCCAAGCGTTATATTTACCATCTTCTTTCTTCTTGTTTTTCTTTTTTTTTTTTCAGTTTGCAAAACAAAACTTGATCTTGGTTTCGTCATTGATGGCTCCGGAAGCGTAGGACCCTCGAACTTCAGACGCTGCCTCCAATTTATCCAGAACATGATTCGTACTTTTGTCATATCACGTGGCTACACGCGCGTTGGAGCGGTCCTCTACAACACAAGAGCGTACAAATTATTTGGCTTTAATCGATTCGGAAACAAAAACCAACTTCTCAGCGCTGTAAGTCGCATACGGTATCCGAGGGGAGGAACGAAGACTGGTCGGGCATTAAGCTACGCATACCACTATCTGTTTCGTCGAAGTAGGAGGCGGAAGATGTGTATTGTCATGACAGACGGACACTCTTACGACAGCGTAGTTGGTCCCGCACGGACCTTGCGTAAGGGAGGAGTGGAAATCATCTCGCTTGGCTTGGGGTTACGCTACAACATCCGGCAGTTACGACAGATGGCCTCCAATCACAGACTGGTGTTTACAGCACGGTTTAGAAATCTGAATTCGGTTGTCAGAGTGATCAAGAGGAAAGCTTGTGGTGCAACAGGTCAGTCATAGTTTGGTTTATAAAACATATTCCCTTGCTGGAAAACCTAGTCATCCAGTAAAAAATTACATGAAATACTCTGACGAAAGTGCATGCTCAAGGACGAGAGACTACACTCGTGATATCTAGTATAAAACTACTGCTTAACACTGACGCAAGTTCCCCTCGAAGACGGTAGACCAAATCTGAGACATACGTGTAAAAATGAGACCAAGCCACTAATTTAAGTCCAAAATCAGGGACTGTGGACTAAATTCGTGATATGTATAGGTTTACGCCCGAGTTCGAAGTATTTGGAACTCGTGGAAAAGCGAATGAAAAATAATTATTGTAAACATCAGAGTTAGAAAAACCGTGACAAACTCTGCTCATGAGGTTTGCATAGGAAATTACCTATGGGCTAAAAGTGTAGCCTCTTTATTAACGCAGGACTGAGTGTCGCTCGTGAAAATGACAAAACGCAATTCAGGTGATAGAGAAGTTTTCCTTCTTCTTTGTTAAGATGATTTAATACCAGATTGTGGAGACACAAGTGTGTTTTCTTACCCTTGAGTTTGCACGGTCCATCAACCCTCAATGCATATCAATTGACAACTACCTAGGTGTGAAACCAAAGCCACACCCTCGCCCCAAGCCTCCCGGTCCTAATCAAGTCACGTACTTCTGGGAAGGATGTTATAATGACAGACGAAGACGAGCCATTAGATACAGACTTGGAAACTTCCACCGAGCCAAAGACCCTGTCATAGCATGTGCACAAGCAGCTGCTAAGCGTCGATTTAAGGTGTTTGCGGTGGAGAACGGTGGAGAGTGCTACTCAGGCCGTTTGGCACACAGTACGTACAATCGCTATGGACCTTCTAATCGATGTAGACGAGGCAGAGGAGGACCATGGGCAATGGATGTATACAAGTTTGGAAGACGTATGTTTTGTGTTCATATGTTTATGAAAAAGCGTGAGAATGCAACGATTTAAAGAAGCTATGTCGTGGCTTAGTTATCATTACGAATTCAGTCTATATGCGTAATTTTTTAGCTTGTCATTTACAATCCGCTTTATGCTCTTCAACCTTATCTTTTGAGGTTCGATTTACTTTCAAGCTTCCCTCTTTGATGTTTGTCCACACTAACAAGCCACTGTTTCAAGGCTCATTTCGTCCCTAGAGAATTGCTTTGTATTAAAAAACGATTAACACTGTCATGACAAAGTAAGGAGCAAAATTATATCAGGGACCCCCATTACGCAACTTAGACACGCAGTGTTACATCAGTAGCTCGCTATGATGCACTGGTACCTAGCGCTACAGAGGCTAGCGCTTTCCAGTGCATAGTTGGTGCTTATGACGAGTCTGAACCAGGCAAAGGTGAAAAAATCAAAGGCACTCTGTCTAAAACTCTATTGTACCAACGTTAAAATAACCAAAGACTTCCATATAATTTCGTCAACCTTGTGATGTCATGTTCTGATTACAGCAAAGGGTTGGACCAATGTCCATATCCGAAGTATCGGTTGCTTCAAAGACAAACCCAGACGGGCCGTGGGAAGCATGGTAGCTAACCTGCAGGGCTTGAAGTTTGCCGTCAGAGACTGCGCGCGCCAGGCGCGAAAACGGGGTTACAGGTTATTTGCAGTTCAAAATGGAGGTGAATGTTGGATGGGTCCCAGGGCTAAGCTCACCTACAAGAAGTATGGTACTTCTAAGCGGTGTCGAGGAGGAAAAGGAGGCCCGTGGGCTAATAATGTCTATGTCATAATTGTCAAAGGTATGTCTCAAGCTCTCGCTTACAATACTATTACTTTAAAAAGCAACAGATTCCTACGGACTTACATTTGAGCAGCGATGCTGTTTCTTGTTTTGTTTACATGTCTAACATCTCTTGTAGGTCGACCACCTTTGCCTCGTCCCAGGCCACGCCCCAGACCACGACCCAGGCCATATCCGAGACCAAGACCCGTTCCCAGACCATCCGGTCGAGGTAAGCTAAGACATACTTTCTCTAGGCCCAATCAGGGGACCCCTTGAGCTTAACGGCATGTACACAGACTGATCAGGGAATGACGCTGCAGAAGTTTTGTCCATAATCGTTCTTGGTGCTGTCTCCTTGTGTCTTAATATCAGCACCAACGTTTTCCAAGCTGTCTCAGGCCATCATGTTTACCTTGATTCATCGATATTTATGTGTTTGTATCGCAAGGACTTCAAAAGGTAACACCACAAGGCTGCCCACAGCATTGAAAAAAAAATTTGCAGGAATGCAGAACAGTTTAAAAGTTAGAATTAACTCTGATCATAACTGTCCGTCTTTGTCACGAAAATCCGATTTTCCATAACCATTTCTTTTCCATTTTTTCTCCTTACAGTTTGCCGAGCACGTCTTGATTTGGCTTTCTTGATTGACGGCTCCGGCAGCATTGAAAACTCCGGCAAAGGCAACTTCCGTCGCTGTCTACATTTTGTGAAGAGGATTATCGCTTCGTTCGCAGTGTCGCGATCTAACACGCGAGTGGGAGTTGCTCTCTTCTCCACCCGAACATGGCTGATTTTCGGCTTCAACCGCTACGCAAACAGGCGGTTGGTCTACCGAGCGATTGATGGTATCAGATATCCATCTGGAGGAACAAGGATAGGAAAGGCCCTGAGATTTGTGTATCGCAGATTGTTCCGAACTAGTAGACGTCGAAAGGTAACATTTGTGAAAAACTTCTCTACATCAACAGAGCGCTTTACGAATAAATTTCATAAACTATTGTAATTACAAGTCTCAAATAAAAGGAAAAGAAGGATGAGAATGAGAACTCAAAGTTAAAGCATGTAAGCAGCCTCGAGTGTTGGAAAATGAGACCATTAAAGTTGGAAGAGGTCTTAGTTTTAGATCGGATTGGGAAGAATATGGAGCAAGTTTTCTAAACCAATGGTAGAGTGAAGTGGTGTAAATCAATACATTTCCCAATTAACTTCGACATTCACTCGAAAATTAATTTAGATGCTGGCCAGAGTTGTTTCACGAGGATAAACTTATACCATTAAGATCCAATGTATTAAATTTTTGTATCTGTAAAATTTTCGGAACATATTCATAGTAGTTGTACCTTCCTTTACTACGTTCTTCTCTTCATTTCATAAACAACCCACCACATAATCAGTCGAATGCAAAAACCAGCCCCGAACTGTTAACAAACAATTAATTTTGGCTAAGAATATTTGATGCGTGTTTCCATGGTGTTTACATCAAAATTATTGGTTTCTTATAGGCTCTTATTGTGCTGACAGACGGCCTGTCACAAGACTCTGTCAGGCAGCCTTCACTTGGTCTCCAAAGGTCTGGTGTTAGCACATTCGTTGTCGCAATCGGACGAAAAACAAGCCGAAGGCAATTGCATCAAATTGCCTCAAGTTCACGTAACATTTTCAGGAGCAGCTTCAGGAGACTTAGCAATGTTGTAAGAAGCTTAGCGAGAAGAGTGTGCTCAAGCCGAGGTGAGTGTGTGGTTCAAAGAAAAATGGCACTGAAATGCAATGATTTGGAGAGAATTCTGTCCTCCCCTACCTACGTCAGTTTTAGCTGACGAGAGGAAGGAGAGAAGAATTGCTACCTCATTTACTTAACTTTTTTCACTTCCCTGTTTATTTATAGTGAGACCCAAGCCAAAACCAGTGAGACCGGTTAGACCACCCAGACCAAAAGGTTAGTTGTATCATGTTGCCTTCACCATTGTTCTTATTATTGACTACTTGAAGACTATATTTTGGAATCGAACAGCAATCATTGTTTCAATTTTACGAATTAAAACTATTTCACCTATCAAGCTGAAATATGGTTCTGGAATTGATACGTGGACCTGTTTTTCACCAGTTACAACCAGAGCTGTCGCCATATTCCCACTTAACGGAGGTAGCAGGGGTAAAGATATCAGTACCCGCCGAAATGCACGTGGAATACTCAGTTATGTCCGCCCCGCGCCTGGACCGGATGGAACTCGTGACGGTTCCTACCAGTTCTATGGAAGAAGCAACAGTTACATCCAGTTCCCTAACCGAGGAGGCCTTGATACCAAGAATTCAATCACTTTCCTTGTGTGGATTTATCACCAGGGCCGCGCAGGACCCATCTTCAATTACATGCCCAATGGGTGGGGTGTGCACTTTTGGATGATTTCGCCGAGAACGCTGTTTGTACGGTTTACGCGTCGCAGAGGACGTCGCTTCACGAAGGCGGTTCTAAGTAGGTCAGTCGTACCGAATCGTTGGCAGTTTGTTGGCGCAACGTATGATCAACGAACAGGAATAGCGAAACTATTTGTAAATAGAAGATTCACAGCACAGAAGTACATTGGGAAAATACGTTTGGCGACCAATTACCCAGTGAGAATGGGAGCTCGTATTGGTGATGGACGATATTTCCGAGGACGAATCTCCTGTATGCAGGTTTACAATGGTGCTTTGTCACACTGGAAAATCATCTCAAAGAAACGAAGGTGCTTTAGAAGAAGTAAGTAGAGCTTGATAATATGTTTTCGTTCATAAACAAAAACTATGATTGATTTAAATGGTACCGAAGGATTCGTTTTCCAATTTTGATTCCACTTCCCAAAGGTGTAATTCTCTTTAAAGAGGTTAATTGCATCTTAGTTTGTGGCAGAACAAAAGACAAACAAACATTCCGGAACATTCTGAGTTCATGCAATACACGATACTCTCCAGAGTCAAACAGAAACAACAGAGAAGTTTTATCTTTTTTTAAAGAGGTGTTTCATTTTTGTCTCATCAACAGCTCCAGTAAGACCAAAACCCAAGCCACCTGGCCGAGGTATGCGATCGATCGTATTGTGCGTTCTAGAACGACTTCAAGATCAGGGTTCATAATCTACATTTATTTCATCATACATGTAGAGCCTCGTCAAAAAAATTATTCTTTGGTATCTTCTCTTTCTTAGGGTGCAACAAACGCCTCGACCTAGCGTTCTTGATTGACGGATCTGGAAGTATTAATTCTGCCGGACGCGGGAACTTTAGGCGATGCATTGAATTTGTCAAGAGTGTGGTGTCTTCATTTAATGTGTCGCCTCGCCACACCCGTGTGGGAGTGGTCTTATTCTCTTCCCGCGCATGGCTAATATTGGACTTCTACCGTAGCAGAAGCAAAGCTGGTGTGTTGAGCACCATTAGTCGAATCAGATATCCTCGCGGAGGAACCAGGATTGGAAAAGCTTTGAACTTCGTGCTATATCGATTGTTTAGAAGAAGTCGAAGGGCACTCAAGGTTAGAGCCACTTGAATAACCTCAGATAGTTTTTCTTTCTTATTAAGTTTTTATGTAATGTGAAGTGGAAAAGTCCTTGCAATAGAGTGATCCTGACAATCTTCTTGTGAAACCAAACACTGATGAGTCGTACATATCACGAAGTACCTTCATGTTTAAATGATAGAAGGTGTATAATCTACTGTTAGACAATTCCCTACACATCAATAATATTTTTTTTGAATTGGTGTGTTTTTCATTTTCCTCGTTGCTTTCAATGCAAGATAACATCGATTAGCGCAGTTCGGCGAATTTCCCCTCACCCTTATGATCACTTAAGTATGAAGATTTGCGTTATTTTCCTTGCGAGTTGACTTTAGGATTGTTGGAAAAGTGAGTGAAATCAAAGTTCATTCTTTCGGTTCATCTCTCGAATAATTCACCGCAGTGTGAAATCCCTATTATGTTCCTTGTTAGCACAGTGATCCATAAATGTATCTGCTTTGTTAGGCCCTGGTAGTAATGACCGATGGCATCTCTCAAGACTCTGTTCGGAGGCCGTCACTGGCTCTGAGAAGCCAGGGAGTATGGGTTTACGCCCTGGGAATCGGTCGGCGGTATCGAAGACGAGAGCTTCAACAGATAGCTACAAACAGTCGATATGTGTTCAGTGCTAACTTCAGAAGCCTCAGTCGGGTCGCTCGTCGCATCTCAGCAAAATTATGCCGGGGTAAGTGCAAACTTTTACTTCTTAGCAAAGCATATAGTCGTCATAATTATCAAAATTATGAACAATATTATTATAATCATTATCGTTATCATTATTATCTTTGCATTGTAAAAGTCATCATCTTTGTCGTCGCCATGTTCATAATCATCAGCACCATTATCATTATCGTTATCATTATCATTCTCATCATCGTCATCATTATCATCATACCAAAGTCCTTCACTACCTATGTATTGCTGAAACTCCAAACCTTTATCACAGGTCGTCCACTCCGTCCCAGGCCACACCTTCCAGGTCCCCACATAAGACCAAGCGGCAAAGGTATCCGATTTATTAAGTGATGAGGTTATTTCTAGGTTACACAGGGTTCTTCTTGTTTAATCTATCTATTGGTAATCTTTTTTAAATTGTTACTACAGCTTCGGTCGCTGAATAATCCCCAGACATTTCATGTTATCTTCCTTTTTTAGTGTGTCGTAAACGTCTTGATCTCGTCTTCCTCATCGATGGCTCTGGTAGCATTGAAGCTAACGGTCGAGGAAACTTCCAGCGATGTCTCAACTTCGTTAAACGGTTGGTGGCTTCGTTTGCCATCTCACCAAGGCAAACTCGTGTTGGTATCGTGCTGTTCTCTTCCCGTCCATGGCTGATTGCAAACTTTAGGAGCTACAGGACAAAACAGAGTGTGTTACGCGCCGTCAGTCGTATAAGATACCCGAGAGGTGGCACGAGAATTGGTCGAGCGCTGAGATTTGTCAAAAATCGGCTATTTGGAGGGAGAACATACGGGCGGAAGGTATGTATTGTTTCTTCTAGACAATTTTATTTATTTGTTTATTTATTTATTTCCTTTAATTTTTATCTTTATGTTGGGGGAGGGAGGCGTTTTTCAGTTTCCGTGTGATCTGATTTAAGCTAGTTCAAAGATGTTTATATTTTCACTGCATTATCCACCTCTATGCCATAGTATCCATTATACCTTAACCACAGTCAAGTTTTCTAACGTTATGCAGGTTTTGGTTACAATGACCGACGGTATTTCACAAGATTCCGTCGTGAGTCCAGCACGGGACCTCCGAAATGCGGGAGTGAGAATCCTTGCGCTAGGAATTGGCCGGAAATTCAGAAGATCACAGCTAAACCAGATGACAATGAACTCACGATATGTGTTCAACAGTGGCTTCCGAAGTCTGCACCGTGTAGTCTCCTCTATAAAGAGAGCAGCGTGCAAAGGTAAATAATATTTACGGGCCACTTAGCAGAGCATTGTTGCCACCGCACCATTATTCAGTTGATTCATGCCAACATGAAGACTGTTTTAATTTGTGTCTTTGCTTCTTGTCATGATTAGGGCGTCCAGTACGTCCCAGACCAGTACGGCCAAGACCCCCCGTGCGCCCTAGCGGTCAAGGTAAGACTGGAACCTAACAAGCTTAATATTGTGTTAAATACAGTGCATGGCAACCAGACCAAAGTTAGTTTTGGGAAGGACAAAGTCACACGTCAAAGTTGAAATTGTAAAAACATAAAAGAATAAATGCAAAGACAAAAAAATTACTTCTAATGCTACTCCGCTGCACGTAAATGATTTATTACGGTAAATTACCAAAAACCACTCCCTTGTAATCACTTGGATTTTCTTACTCAAATCGAAATGCTCTCTAAAGCCATCATTGCAGCAATTTAATAACACATGTATTTTTGTTATCACAGTTTGTCGCAGACGTCTTGACCTTGCCTTCCTTATTGACGGCTCTGGTAGTATTGAGGCTTACGGTCGAGGTAACTTTCAGCGATGTCTCAACTTCGTCAAACAAGTAGTGGCCTCATTCGGCATCTCTCCGTCCCAAACTCGTGTTGGTATCGTACTGTTCTCCAGCCGTGCATGGC